CATGCAGGAGTGTTATATGAGGCTCAAGCTCCACGGACCTCAAGGATGCCGACCGCAGTGGAGCATTCGTGACGGCGGCGTCCAGGTGTACGGAAACAGGACCACCATATCCGTGTACAACATTGCTCCCCTCCGTTACACGTACAGCACCGCGCCTGGGGACGTGGCGGAGATCGCGCTGGTCGTCCTCTTCACCCGCAAGTTCGAGTCGTTCCTCCTCACGACCTTCCTGCCTTGCATGATCCTCTGCGCGCTCTCCCAGCTCACGCTCACCCATTTCCACCTGGACGACTTCCCGGACAGGATCACCGTCACGCTCTCCCTGCTTATCGTCCTGGCTTCGCTCTTCTCCCAGACGTCGAGCACCCTGCCGATGTCACCCACGCCCAAGTGCATCGACTTCTTCTTCTTTTATTGCATCCTGAGGGTGAGCGTCGTCTTCATCTTGCACAGTTGCATCGAGAAGAGCTATCGATCTCGGAATGAACGGGAGACGATGGTTTCTCCCTTCATCCCGGGACGCACGGATAAAACTCGAAAAAAGATGCTCTGTGGATGCGACAAGGCCTTCAAGATGCCCGAAGTCAGCGCGCCAGGATTCATCAAAAAAGTGGGTCAGTTTGCCATCGCCATCTCAGACGTCCTCATCGTGTCCTGTAACATTTACTTCATTATGCTCGACAGGAGAGGCAAGCAGTTGAGGTACGAGTCTGCTTACGTCACGGAATAGAACAGATTCTGCAAACTTCGATGATAGACATCTGTGAAAGAATGCTTCGTTCTTTCAAAAAAATATTCGCACCTCTATGAACGCCATTGCTAGATGAAATATGTATGAGCAATTCACTTGCTGCAACATTATAATTATCGTCCTATTTGTTTGGTGACACTTCACCTTTTGCTGATGCAATGCTCTCTCCCTCCCTCTCTCTCTCTCTCTCTCTCTCTCTCTCTCTCTCTCTCTCTCTCTCTCTCTCTCTCTCTCTCTCTCTCTCTCTCTCTCTCTCTCTCTCTCTCTCTTCTCCCCTCCCCTCCCTCCCTCCCTTCCTCCACCCCTCTCTCTCTCTCTCTCTCTCTCTCTCTCTCTCTCTCTCTCTCTCTCTCTCTCTCTCTCTCTCTCTCTCTCTCTCTCTCTCTCTCTCTCCCTCTCTCTCCCTCTCTCTCCCTCTCTCTCCCTCTCTCTCCCTCTCTCTCCCTCTCTCTCTCCCTCTCTCTCCCCTCTCTCTCCCTCTCTCCCTCTCTCCTCTCTCCCTCTCTCCCTCCCTTCCTCCCTCCCTCCCTCTTCCTCTTTCTCCCTATCTCCCTCTATTTTTTCTCTCTCTCTCTGTCCCATTCTCCCTTTGTCTCTCCCCCCATCTCTCCATTTTGTTCCAAAGGCCAACAATTACTAGGATCTCACATGTTTTCTACGATAGGAGAGCCATGTTTACAAATCTGGTTTGTTCCTGTTCTATTCAAGACTTGTACACGCATCAGTTTTTGCACAGTGTATTTATTCTCTATGGTGCTTGTAACGTATTTGTGAAAAAAAATGGCACAAAGTACACAAGGGAAATTACACGTGCCTTACTATTAATATATCAAAGTATATCGTCCGTATATCATAGTGTTCACAGTTTATCCTTCTGGGAAAATGCACATAACAAAATAAATAGTCACACGTGTTCTAAATATTGACCATTATAGTGATTCTTAACCTTTGGCATTAGCCTGTTTCCTCTGGCAGTCGCTACTTTCCTACCCCCCCCCCCCCCCCCACCTCACGTCCCCAGACATATATCCTAAGCCAAATAAATCTCATTTAACAAACCTTCGAGGAAAGTTTACTGCACACTCGATTTTTTTTTTTTTTTTTTACCAGACACAAGAGTATGATGTGGTATACTTAGAAAAAAAATCTATTATATTCACCATCCTTTAACGTGCAACATTTCTAATTATATTTTCTATTAGCATTTATTTCCAAAACAAAGCTCGAGTGAACGAAACCTATATCTCTAAGGAAAGAATCAAATCAAAGAACAAAGAAAGTTTTAAGATTAGAACACAACAGTCATTTAAATGTAAACAATTTAAAACTAGATTCATGATAATTAAATCTAGTTTTTAATAAGCTATAAAAAAAAACACGCCAAATTACGTAATGTTTTAGGAAGCACATTTCTGGAAGATCTTGCGTGTTAAAATAACCATTGTCTTAAGTACGAATTCCTATTGAAACCCGAAAGACCTCAAGAAGAACAATTTGTATATAGCACAGTCATATCTAGTCCATGTAAAACCACTGGATTTTTTTATCTATCTTTTTTCCATATCATTATTATTATCATTATCATTATTTTCTTTTTTGTAAAAGGCAAGACAAATGGAAACAATCATCATATTTTTTTGTTCTCAATGCAAGATAATGTAAAAAAAAAACAAAAAAAAAATGCAAATTTACGTGGTTTCGTAAAACAAAATTAAGAATATAAGAGGATTATTTAGCAACATGGTACATGGTTAAAACAGACATATACGCCAGACATCTAAGGTCATATACCACTAATTTCGCAATTTGGAAAACCGTAAAAAAATCGGACAAATAGTCACTATTTGTGCCGTACTAAACTAAAACTCAAATTGATAAGAAATTTTATAGATTTTACAATGTATAAAACCAAGCGGGTTTATTTCGCTGTCTAAACCTTTCTGAGGTTGATTTTGAATAAATTGATGGTGAATGACTATAACTCAAATTGATAAGAAATTTTATAGATTTTACAATGTATAAAACCAAGCGGGTTTATTTCGCTGTCTAAACCTTTCTGACAGGTGAATGATGATGGTAATAATAATTTGATAGTAATTGTGATAAGGATGATTATAATAGTAATAATGATAATGATGATGATAATGTTGATAATAACAATAATGATTATGATAATAATAACAAATGATTGATAATAATGATACTGACAATTTTAAGAACAGTAATAATATCATTAGTGATTTTTACAATAACAAGGATGATAATAATAATAAAAAAGATTATGATAATAATAATGCAATAATGATAATGATGATGATGATAATAACAATAAGACAGCAATTATGATAATCAGAGGGATGATGAAGATGAAGATAATGATAATGATAGAAATAATGACAATGATAACAATAACAACAAAAATAACAAAAATGATAATAATGTTGATGGTAGTGATAATTAAGATGATAATGATGACAAATAAATAATAATGATAACAATAATAGTACTAAAAGTAATAATGATATTAATGATAATAACAATAATAATAGCAGTAATGATGATTGTAATAATAATGATAATGATAACAATGATAATAATGGTGATAATGATTTTAATGGCAATAATGATAATGGTAATAATAATAACAATGATGATAATTTTAATGGCAATAATGATAATGAATAATAATACAATATAAATAATAATAATAAACAAATAACTGCAGCAAGAATCATTAATATGATTATTATTATACTAACAATGACGATAATAATAATAACATTAATAGTAATAATAATAGTAGTAGTAGTAGAGTATTAGTAATAATATAATAAAAAATCTCCTTATTTTATCAACACTATACTACTAATGATAGTAATGATAAAATGATGATGATGATGATGATGATGATGGTGATGATGATGATGATGATGATGATGATAATGATGATATGATGATAATAATAATAAATAATAATATAATAATAATAATAATATAATAATAATTATTATTATCATTATTATTATTATTATCATTATTATTATTATTTATTATTATTATTATTATATTATATATTATTATTATTATTATTATCATTATTATTATTATTATTATTATTATTATTATTATTATTATTATTATTATTATTATTATTATTATTATTATTATTATTATTATTATTATTATTATTATTATTATATTATTATTATTATTAATAATATTACCCATAATACTGATAACAATAGTAATAGTAATATTAAGAGTAATGATAAAAATCATGGTAATGATAATAATCATAATGATAATAAAGGTGATGATGATAACATTGATAATAACAATGATAAGAATGGTACTCTTTTGGCCCATACCATTTTTTTTAGATAACATCCCATACCATCTCTTTATCAGGTTTTATTCAATTTATAACTTAGTCACATGGTCATAAGAACCCATCCCCAAAAGATATCTAATCTAATGTCCAGAAAGTAATAAAAAAAAAGAATAAATAAAACCAAATTTGCAACCAGTGGCAACCACGAGCAGGGAGATGAGAGCCAAAAGTCTAAGAAGAGCCAGTGTCATCATTAATAGCCTTGGGCAAAGACATGCTGTATCTTTGGCTGGGTTTAAGTGTTAAATAATTTGATATTTCAAAGGAAGGAGGAACTGAGATAGACAGAGTAAGTGGATAGTACGTTTTGCTGTGAATTCAGAGTAGTATTCTCTGTGTGAAATAAAACGGTGAGTTGTAATAGGATTTGGGTGTATTGTTTGTTCTCATAGTGATGATTTCGTTAATAATGTGTATGTATTCCGCTAAACAAAGATAATGCAGATAAAGTGGACGAAATAATAACTGTTAAACATGTGGTAGTTGTATTGTAATTTGAGCTTTATTTTGGTTTATTTCGTTTTTCATCCTTGCGGCCCTGCTAATGAGTATCTGAATAATTGAATTATTTCAAGGTAAGTGCAACATCAATTGCTGTAAAAACTGTAAGAAAAGCTGTACGAAAATACCTTAAGAAATAACTCAATTATTACCCTCCATATATTCAGACCTAAATACGGATCACAATACGGCGACATACATCCATCAAATCCCTTACAACGCACTGTATTTCCAAAACAACAGACAAACATATCAACCAACCAAATAATTCCCACAAATCACCCACAGTTACACTGAAAAACAGCAACGCATTAGAAAAAAACAATAATATCATAGAAAACAAGACCACAACGCGACCCTAGTTTAGCGAAGGTCCCCACGCGGTGCGCGAGGGACCCGAAAAACACGTGTTTTCTCAGTGCCAGCTGGACGAGCGTGGTGCGAGGTTGTGGTGGTTGATTCCTTTATTTCGTTTTCAAGACCAGCGGTTTCTTTGACAAGATGTTGGATAAGGTATGTTGAGTTTAAGAGACGTCTGGTGCGTTTTAGACAGGTGGGGGTTGGGTTAAGAGTGTTAAATAAGGTTTGGAAGGCGTAGAGGAGGGTGCTATGGTGGTTGAAATTGTGATACATCATGCCTTGCTTACAACGCGAATTATTTAACGTGGATAATGTCGCTTGAAAGGGTAATTTTTCTTGGAAGGTCCGTTTCGTCGATACCAACGGATTTACAGTATTTCTGTTCAGTTCTGACCAATTTCCAAGTGATTCTGTTGACCACTTTTTTAAGGAGGCCAGGACGAAGCAGGACACGTTGGGGTGGATATTCGGAATATCGGAAATACCTTCGCATAAACGATCGCGACGACCGTAGTATTAATGAAATCCTCTCTTGCTTTACTATCGACATGTATTGAAATTATGCTGCGGAAACCCTCCTCCCCTTTGGCGACACCCTTGCCCCTGATAGTGAGGGCAGGAAAGGTACCAGGAAAATTACTGGGAAAACAATGAATTATATACACAGAATCAGTGTTAATATTTTACAGTATGGACACACTCGCCAGAGACAACGTCCCTAACGCCACGTCCAAAACTTATACATGCGAGTGTAGACAGACCGTATACACTTATCTGCATATGTGCCATAATACATCATATGTCGTCTGCACTGCACTGAGTGGTACCCAAAATATAAAGACCACGCATATACACAGTATATTGCAGGATATTACATTGAAATTGTTACATATAACTTTATTGATGTATTAATGTATGGGAGTATATGTGAATCGGTTAATTTTCGATTATGACAATTGGACTTCCCATACAATATTTATATCATCTGTTTTATTCTCATGTGATGAGAATGAATCTGATGATCATTTCCGTTGCAATCACAGCCGGTGATCTTGATGTATTAAGTCCTGTTAGCAGGGGAAGGATGTGAAGTATATCAGGGAAACTATGGGGTAACAGAGCGCAAGAATGAGTTGACTGGTCACAATTTTGTTTACATTCACGATGTCAACATGGCGAGGGACTTAGAAAAAGATGGGTCGGTCTTCTCTCTTCTCTGTCATGTAACTCTCCTTTATTTTCGATTTGCGCAACTTTTGCCATAGATGAAAAGTGTCTCAGTTTATGTCAAGGTAACCATTCCATATCTTTTTTTTTTTTTTTTAACCCTGATTGTTACCACAAGGTAATTTTACCTATGAATCTATATTTATGCTGGTGTCGCATAAATATAGATTGCTGTAGGCCTGTAACAAGGTAAAACAAATATGACGCAAGAAATTGAGAACATTTTATATACTGATTTATTCCTGTACAGTTATGCTCATTCACTGCACAATAACATCATATCCGTAATAAAATAGTGTCTTTAATTCATCTTCCAAATAACGGCATTGCCCTCTCCTGTGCTTATTTTATTTATTCTTGCTAATATCTAATCACCAACACTATGAGAAACAAAATTATAATGATCCATAAAAGGTAAATTACATGCAAATCAGGTAAATTGTTCTGTTTGGGTATAATCAGTAATTATGAAATGATTGGAACTCATGGTTAAGGTTAACTCTGCTCTTCTAAAAGGCCATGATGGTCCACTGCTTACAAAAGTTCGCTGGAAACCGATAGTTTATAATTATCCGCCCTTGCAACTCAACCATGATTATTGCGTTATTAATATAGTTAGTTGATAATGCTATCTGTAAGAATTTCAATGTAATATCTTGTAATATACAGTGTATACGTGTGGTCTTTATATTTTGGGTACCACTCAGTGCAGTGCAGACGACACATAATGTATTATGGCGCATGCGCAGATAAGTGTATACGGTCTGTCTACACTCGCATGTAAAAATTATTCATCAGTCTTTGTTGAAACTGGGTGCGCCCTTTGGGCACTGCCCGAGGACCAGACTGTAGAGTTTGGTCTGCGTGGGGAACACGTTCCCCGCTCAAAAATTATTTGGTCAAAATCTGTCAGCACAAATGTAGTTCTCGGGTAACTTTACGCGCATGTTTAGTTCTTTTTTAAATCATCTTTCACACATAAAATTCTTTTGACCTTTCCACACAATTGTTTCATCATCCGTCCACAGATCCATCTGCGCAAATGTAGACAATATTGTGTTTTCCGCATGAATAAAGGTAATATTCCCTGCACAAGAAAAATACTCTACAGTCTGGCCCGAGGAGAGGGCTGATGGTGGGCAACACCCCTGGGAAATATTGTCTTCATCTCAGTATGCATGGCAAGACAGAACTTGAGGCTTGGGAGTAGTGAGTGGACTTGGGCTGAGAGTGGTGCTTTCCGTGATCTTTTTCCTATATTTGTGGTGTTACAGTTCATGTCTGCAGATTATTCCTTGTACCGACAACTGTAGCTTTTTTTCCCTCTACAATAAATTCATATTCAATTTGTCTAGTGCAAGGGGCCTGTTCCCAGACTGTAAATGAAAAAATTTCTACTTTGTTTTCCGTCCACACAAAGAATTTATTTGGCCATTTTCATGCTGAATTTTCTACCCCTTTGGATTTGTGGAAGATTGCTATTTTTAGAACTTTGTGTTCTCTTGGGTTTCCACCAGCTTTACCTGTGCCTGTTCAGGACACAAAGCAGGACAGGAACAAGAAAGATATTATGGATAATGACTTGATATTTTTAGTAACAAAAATCCGCAAACAAACACTTTGTGGAATTTGCTCTGATACCTGGGGAATCAGTCACTATATTGTCTTATGCAGTGGACTTTTGCCCCAATGACCCCCTCCTTGGCAGCTACTGCCCTCCAACCCCTGATATGGAAGACAAAGAATTCTCCACATATTCATGGCAGGGCAGACTGTTTGACTGACATGCAGGAGTGCCCAGTGCTGAATCTGTCCTACACTCTATTCAGAAGTACATACATGGTGGATTCTATGTCCAGGGCAAGGGGTTGGGAGGTAGCAGCCACCCATGGAGGGGTTGCATGGGGACAGAGGCCCCTGCATTTGACTATATATTGGCCAAGTCGTGAAAATGCCAATGGCAGGTTATTGTAAGTAATTGTATAGTTCAGTGTAGATATAAGAAACTTGAAGTAATTTAACATCAAAAGAATACATGAAATACATAAAATGGAAGAACAGGTATTGATAATTGTGAAGGAAAAAATTTGCATGTGCTAAGTAATACTGGAATTAGTTAACATGTTGCAGTAATGATTTATGTGGTCACTTTAGTACTTGACACAACAGAGTAAACATCTTGAGCAACTTACAAAATTTGGTTGCAGCAAGAATTTTGATTGCTTATTAATTATTGAGCTCCTCTATTTTAACTTTTTCTTTAAGTTTCTTTACTTTTGTCTTTGTTCAGTGAATTCATTAGATATGTAAATATGTTCTGTCTTGCAGATGGTTAAGAAGACTGTAAAACGCAAATTGACAGAATCTGTAGAAGGTTCTACAGGAAAGAAAAAGAAGACTGGGCTGAACACACAGTCTGAAGGCAGCAGCCCAAATTTGGTAAGATATTTTGACTTTTTATTTGCTCTATATTAACGTTTCACCAGAAAGGGGGAAAAAAAAATGAATCTTAAAGTGTGATACATATTTTACATTGTGCTTTTCTTTATTTTTGAAGTATGGGACTCATATGCATATAATCTGATTACTTGCATCTCAATAGAGATTTTGGTGTGTCGAAGGGTAACCAGGTAATGGTATTCATGAAAGAGGAGAGAGAACTAACATTTGTGGTATCATTTACTTCACAGGCTATGTCAAATATTTTCACTTCATGTGAAGAAATATAGATGAATAAATTGAATGTATTATTTCCATATTTTTTTATAGGTCAGATATAAATAGATACTGTAAATTATAGAAAGTCTTAAATATGATAAACACTTCCTAAGCTCATGGCATTTGCAAGTTACCAATTAGATTTAAAGGAAAAGTTTTTGGGAGAGGATGGAGAGCTAGATTTTTTAATATTTTTTATTGATATGTTGTAATAATAAAGATTAGAGACTAGTCTATACATTGCTTTACAGGACATTAGAAATTATCCAAATGCATGTTGTCCTTTCAGTAATGTTGAACTAATATCATTGTCGTACTCCAGAAGATTTTCAAACTATAGGTAACCTTTTCAAAGGTGGACTACTTTGATTTTACATTCAGGAGGGGCTGGCAGGTTTTTACATCTATCTTGGGTTTATTTCAACTCTTAAAGGAACCTTAATGACATATGTTTTCAATAACTATTGAATTGAGGATAATGATAATGTTCAGAATATTGAATAATGTTAATGAGAGTAGCAGTTTGAATACTAATCAGGATATTGTTTACCAAGTCTGTAAAGATGATAAGCTTACATTTTTGCCCTAGTTGCCTATTGTTTTATAAGAATGTCTGGAATGTCAACTGCTTTTTTGGGGTCAAGTTATCAGTTTTAGATTCGTTCTATGTATTTGTATTAAATATAGACAGAAAGAATCGAGCCTAATATTTCAATAAATCAATATAGTCAATTAAAAATATAAGAGAAACTGGCAGACATCTTGATCTGGACATAAGCAGAGTTGCAGGTACTTTGGCTGAGTGGTACGCCAAGTTGCCCCCTACCAGAGTGATAACTAAATACCGTCTATAAAGGCTTTTAGTTCATTTTATGAAATGTGCAGTTAGCTCATCATCCATATCCATGCTGTGCACCTCTGTTTGTTTAGTCTTAAGTTGGTCCTAAGGGCATCATTGCATGGTTTTCTCCTCTTTCATTTATTGAAGCCTAGTATAGTGTCACATTTTTTTTAATCCATTATGCTAGGATGATATGACAATACATGCCATGTCCAAGGTAATTTTAGTTTAATAATGGTGTTTTTACACTTGAAGGTTCTGCAAGTGCTTAATCACCAAGGATTCAGTTAACGTGCCTCACTTGTTTACCATTTTTCTGGATTTTCTTATTTTTTTTCATGTTAAAAGTATTTTGATTATTATGATAATAATGTCAATGAGGATAGTATCAGTACCAAGAGCATTTACAAAAAAAAATCTGGTAAGGTCATGTAGTGCCTACTAATTGATTCCTTGGTAACAGAACACTTGGTGAATCATCTATGTACAACATGTAGCCTTGGCAAATGTGTTTATAGTTTTATTGTATAATTTTTCTGTTCATTTGTGTTTATAGCCATGTTATTTACTTTTTTCATATAAAAATGTTTGAAAGGTTTAAAGAATTGACATTGTGTTGAGAAGGCCGGTCTCAGACATTAAAGCCAGTTGTTACCACTATTTTATCCTTATTCTTTCTTGCGGGAGTAATATTTACACAGTAATTATTGTGTAATATATCTATACAATAACTCCTGTGTATTGCATGTGATATTTGTAATGATATCACATTAGTAATAATACACACATTAGTAATAAATGTCGAGAACTCATAGACCATTGTAATCTAACGTAGCCAAAGAAGAAAAAGAAGAAGCTGCCGCAGGAAGGGAATGCAGATGACGGTATCCAGGAGAAGCCCAAGTTGACAGAGGAAAAGATTTCAAAAGTAATTCAGAAAAGTTTGTGTTCTATGTTTGTATTGGCTATGTCAAAAGAGCATGTTTTGAAAGTTATTTAGAAAATTAACTGTATGTTGGGAAATCTGAGAGATATCTACAATTTGATATACATATATATGTAGATAATAGACATATGTACTATACACACAATGAGGTGCATTCTTACCAGGTTGTTTTTGTAAAACTGGGTAAGAAGACACACACATGTACAGATACACACAGACTTGTATTATAGAGATCACTAAAAAAAAAATTTATCATTCACAATTTTGCTTGTACTCTAAATATAGCCAAAGAAGATCCTCAAGAAGAAAAAGCAGGAAGAGAATGTAGAGATTGGCACCCAGGAGAAGACGTCGCAGCCCCAGTTAACAGAGGAAAATGTTCCAAAAGTAAATCGGAAATATCCAAGCATTTTTTTTTTTTTTTTTTTTTTTCTTCTTCTTTCTTTTTCTTTCTTTTTAGTAGGATTGATTAATTTCATGAGAATTCATGAGAAAGTGCTTGTTTCTATGCCCTGTACATGCCAGAGGATAGTTTTGTGTATATATGTAAATAGAATTTTTTTTAAGTAGAAATTGATACTGTATTGTATGCCTTTAGCTAGCTCTGAAAACTGAAATGTTTATAAATCAGATTATTATGGAGTGGAAATTTGATGTTGGTCAATAGCCCTTTTGTTTGAAATTTTGGTAACATCAACAGTAGGCATATCTGTGTGTGAGCAGACTATAATTTACATAGTTATATACTTCATTACATGTGTCAAGAAAAAGATTCTTCTGCATCTACATCTGCAGTTCTGAAAAATTGTAACTTATCCCCTACAGCAGAAGAAAAAAGGTGCCAAAAAGAAAAAGCAGCAACAAGACACAGCAAATGGCATATCCGAACAAGAGAATCAGCAGCCCATGGAAACTGGAACAGATAGTCCTAAGGTATTTGGAAATGATTGAGTTATAGTTGAAGCTACCTTGATATAATGTTATTTCAGAAGGTGGATTTGAATCTCCTGATATATCGTATCAGGATTTATGTACAAGTTTCTAATCCAGATAGTCATCTTGACTCTTAAGTGTTTTTCCTTTTTCTTTTTCTTTTTCTTGCCAACTTAACAAACTAGTTATGCTTTTCCTTTCTTTTCTCTCTCTCTTTTTGTTTTATTAGACTATTCTTGACCTATTTCAGGTAAAGAAGAAGGGTAAAAAGATGAAGAAGCTAGGAATCCTTGCCAAGAGTGATGTCCAGACAGAGGAAGTGCAGCCAGAACAAAAGGCGGTGAGTGAATCATTATATTTTTTTGATGGAAGTAGTTCCCCTGTATAAGTGACTCCTTGAGCAGAATACAGTCTTGTGCACAAATTCAAAAAATACAAGAAATAAGAAAAAATAATTTTGATCACTTTCAGGAAAAGAAGAATGCTGCCAAGAAAAAGAAGAAAGGAATCATAGCTAAGGGCGTCGTCGAACCAGTGAAAGAACAGACTGAAGTAAATGAGGTGAGTAAATCCAGAGCTAAAGGAAGTAGGTATATTCTCAAGGAAAAGATACCAGCATTTAACCGAAAGAAAATGGATATCAGTGAACATGAAATTCTCGTATATTGCCAAGTAACCTACCAGTTAAGTTGTCAAAGTTGAATATTAAAATGGGTCAATAGTTTGAATTTTCTTTTTTTTTCTTCTTCTTCTTTTTATTGTTATTATTTTTTTAGCAGCATTTATTTGTTTATTGACCCTTTTTTTTTTTTCTTTCTTTCTTTCTTTTTGAGGCTGTACCTCAAGCAACTAGTATAGCCTGCAGCACAAGTTCAAAGAGAGCTAGAAATAATGAAAGTTATTATTTATTTCAGACAGAGATTGCATCCCCCAAGAACAAAAAGCAAAAAGCTGTAGTTAATGGGGATGTCAAACCAGTGAAAGTACAGCCTGAAGAGAATGAGGTGAGAAAGTCCCAGTTTAAAGGGGAAATAGATATATAGTGCTGAGGAGAAATAGGTTTAAAAAAAATAGTTGTAAAGATATAAGTCTTTTGTTTAATGTGTTATCTTATCCCTTTACCTTATGGGGTATTAGCTTACCCTTAAGTATATATGAAATTGAATGCAGATCAGTGAATGAAGAAATGCAAAATGATAAATGAACCTTTGACTCAAAAAGAGAAAGAAAACAAAAAATCTGGTCTTTTGTACAATTTGCTTTAGAATCATAGATAATTAGAAACTTGTTGAAGAATGGTTTTTGGAAGTAAAACAATTGACCCACTAACGCCGGTATATTTTGAAGCCGAAAATAAAAGTTTCCGGGTGACGGCAAAATCGGCATGCGGGGCTGGTTCCCCTTTGTTCCCATTTTTAAGATTTTTAGAAATGTTAGATACATGAAAACACATATTGCTTCTACTTTATATGAATGAAACCTTGTGACTATTCCTAATATGGAGATACACTGCTGTTGAGTATTTACCATTAGACAATCAAGTGAGAGGATAAGCAGTTCTTATCAAGACTTGAGATTATGGGTGTCAAATTCATTCATTCAATACATCATTTAGGAGTATGTATTTAGTCCACTTAATGTTCAACAAAAGTTCTCGGAAGCAAAGAAATCAACAGAGTCAAGTAACTAATCCTCAGGTTCAATGCACAACTTGCAAGCCATGAAACTTAGCAAAAAACAGTTTGCAGTCTTATAAATCTAAATGCAGATTTAGTCTACTCTCATGCCTTTTTTTTTCTTCTTCTTCTTCTTCTTCTTCTTTATTGTTATTATTTTTTTTAGCAGCATTTATTTGTTTATTGACCCTTTTTTTTTCCTTCTTCTTCTTCTTCTTCTTCTTCTTTTTGAGGCTGTACCTCAAGCAACTAGTATAGCCTGCGGCACAAGTTCAAAGGAGAGCTAGAAATAATGAAAGTTATTATTTATTTCAGACAGAGATTGCATCCCCCAAGAAAAAAAAGCAAAAAGCTGTAGTTAATGGGGATGTCAAACCAGTGAAAGTACAGCCTGAAGAGAATGAGGTGAGAAAGTCCCAGTTTAAAGGGGAAATAGATATATAGTGCTGAGGAGAAATAGGTTTAAAAAAAATAGTTGTAAAGATATAAGTCTTTTGTTTAATGTGTATAGTGCATCTACTTATTTGAATACAGTGTAGTGCATAAGTTTTGAGGAGAAATAGGTTTAAAAAAAATAGTTGTAAAGATATAAGTCTTTTGTTTAATGTGTTATCTTATCCCTTTACCTTATGGGGTATTAGCTTACCCTTAAGTATATATGAAATTGAATGCAGATCAGTGAATGAAGAAATGCAAAATGATCAATGAACCTTTGACTCAAAAAGAGAAAGAAAAAGAAAAATCTGGTCTTTTGTACAAATTGCTTTAGAATCATAGATATTTAGAAACTTGTTGAAGAATGGTTTTTGGAAGTAAAACAATTAACCCACTAACGCCGGTATATTTTGAAGCCGAAAATAAAAGTTTCCGGGTGACGGCAAAATCGGCATGCGGGGCTGGTTCCCCTTTGTTCCCATTTTTAAGATTTTTAGAAATGTTAGATACATGAAAACACATATTGCTTCTACTTTATATGAATGAAACCTTGTGACTATTCCTAATATGGAGATACACTGCTGTTGAGTATTTACCATTAGACAATCAAGTGAGAGGATAAGCAGTTCTTATCAAGACTTGAGATTATGGATGTCAAATTCATTAATTCAGTACATCATTTAGGAGTATGTATTTAGTCCACTTAATGTTCAACAAAAGTTCTCGGAAGCAAAGAAATCAACAGAGTCAAGTAACTAATCCTCAGGTTCAATGCACAACTTGCAAGCCATGAAACTTAGCAAAAAACAGTTTGCAGTCTTATAAATCTAAATGCAGATTTAGTCTATTCTCATGCCTTTTTTTTCTTCTTCTTCTTCTTCTTCTTTTTTTATTGTTATTATTTTTTTTAGCAGCATTTATTTGTTTATTGACCCTTTTCTTCTTCTTCTTCTTCTTCTTCTTCTTCTTCTTCTTCTTCTTTTTGAGGCTGTACCTCAAGCAACTAGTATAGCCTGCGGCACAAGTTCAAAGGAGAGCTAGAAATAATGAAAGTTATTATTTATTTCAGACAGAGATTGCATCCCCCAAGAACAAAAAGCAAAAAGCTGTAGTTAATGGGGATGTCAAACCAGTGAAAGTACAGCCTGAAGAGAATGAGGTGAGAAAGTCCCAGTTTAAAGGGGAAATAGATATATAGTGCATCTACTTATTTGAATACATTGTAGTGCATAAGTTTTGAGGAGAAATAGGTTTAAAAAAAATAGTTGTAAAGATATAAGTCTTTTGTTTAATGTGTTATCTTATCCCTTTACCTTATGGGGTATTAGCTTACCCTTAAGTATATATGAAATTGAATGCAGATCAGTGAATGAAGAAATGCAAAATGATCAATGAACCTTTGACTCAAAAAGAGAAAGAAAATCAAAAATCTGGTCTTTTGTACAAATTGCTTTATAATCATAGATGATTAGAAACTTGTTAAAGAATGGTTTTTGGAAGTAAAACAATTAACCCACTAACGCCAGTATATTTTGAAGCCGAAAATAAAAGTTTCCGGGTGACGGCAAAATCGGCATGCGGGGCTGGTTCCCCTTTGTTCCCATTTTTAAGATTTTTAGAAATGTTAGATACATGAAAACACATATTGCTTCTACTTTATATGAATGAAACCTTGTGACTATTCCTAATATGGAGATACACTGCTGTTGAGTATTTACCATTAGACAATCAAGTGAGAAGATAAGCAGTTCTTATCAAGACTTGAGATTATGGGTGTCAAACTCATTCATTCAATACATCATTTAGGAGTATGTATTTAGTCCACTTAATGTTCAACAAAAGTTCTCGGACAAGAGAATCAGCAGCAAAGCAAAGAAATAAACCGAGTCAAGTAACATCCTCAGGTTCAGTGCACAACTTGCAAGCCATGAAACTTAGCAAAAAATAGTTTGCAGTCATATAAATCTAAATGCGGATTTAGTCTACTCTCATGCCTATGTGAAGACCTAAAATAGAAAATGTAATTCTTGTGTGCATGTGGGTGGGTAAAGGTGGTGGTATGTGTATGTGGGGGTGGGTGTAGGTGGTGTGTTTGTGGGTATTGGTGATTGTTTGTATCCATGTGTGTGTGTGTTAGCACTTGTCTTGGTAAAAGGTGAAAGGACTTATAAATTGTTTAAAACACAATGGAAAATTTTATGTAAAAGATAAACATGCTAAGGATATTAAAAAAGAAATCAAGCAAGCACAGGACAGTCAAATCTTTTAAAATGCAATTTATTGACTGTCCCCCAGATGAGAGAGGATGTGGCTATTTGACATTCCAGGTTTAGATGATATTTATTGTAATATAGTTTTCTTTTTTGTGGCTTTGTTAACCATTTGTTTTCCCCCAAACCAAAAAACAGACCCCCATGAAATTGGAGCTTTCCGACCTCCAGAAAAGGATGCTTGAGCGCACACAGCCTTCTGAAGAGGAACTGGCACAGGTAACATAGGGAGAACATTTCTTTATTCAAAATTCATATTGGTGTTATACTTTTTAAGTATTGCCTTCTCTTTCTTTCATTGGGAAAAAAATAAAAATTGATAAACAAACAATATCACAATTAGTATTTTTTCTCTTAATGTTTCAGAACTTTATAGTAAGTGTCATTTTTCTGCTCCTTCAGATGCGAGAGGAAAGAGGAATGAGACGGGGACGGGGACGGGGATTCAGCACTCCCAGAATGCGTGGAGGTGACAGGAGGGGTGGTAACAGGCGTGGCTATGGTGACAGGCATGGCTACGACAGGCGTGGTGGTGGTGGTGGCCGTGGGGGCTTCACACCTAGTTATGTAACGTAAGGAGATTTACCTTTATCTGTAAGAAAGATGATTTTAGTATACACCTGGAAATTTGAAAGATTTTGCATATAAGATATGCATTAGTATTATGTTATACCATGTATCTTTATCCTTGTACTTTACATACCATATACACACACACAAGACTGATTATGAGCTTTGGAATTGGTGCTTCAGTTTGTCTTATTTGGAATTGAATCCAGTATGTGATACTAAGTAGAATTTGATAAGGAAGGGAATTATTTAAAGTACATATATTAACCCATATGATCCTGATGCTTCACTTCCATCACATGTCCCAAAATATGGGCTCTAGGCTTACTTGACTAGCCACTCTGCCGGGTGTGTGGCTTGTAGCCATGACACCCTTGGATTCTTCTTTGTGGTGACAAGACTCCATGCCTCCCCATTGCAATATTTTCGCTTTTTCTGTATTAGCATTTTTAGCTTTTTTGCCATTTTCCAAAGTATATATTTATTTGATTTGCTTTATCCAGATGGTAATAAATGTTTTCCTTGCTCAGACTCCATATCATCTCTCAAGGTAGTCCATAACGCACTGCAATGATAACAATAAGACTATTATGTTTCATAAAATGAAAGAAATTATAACACTATTTTCTGTAATGCAACCAGGCTGGAATAGGATCCTGAGCATGGAAATAGTGTCCTCCCTGGAGCTGGAGCTCTTCCAGTCAAGACTCATGAATGTAACATTCCATACTCATTTATTGATAGAAATAATGTAAAAGCCCCTTTCTAAATGCCCACGGAGTCATCACCCTTTAAGAACATTGTGCACTCCAGCCTTCAGCAGAAATTCATATGATATCATGTTCATGTCACCCGCCCCTCCAGCCAAAATTTTACTTGGC